ATATACTTTGTGTGTGTGTGTGTGTGTGTGCGGTTGAAAACATCAATTAAATATTTAATTCTATTAAAATAACTCTCTAGCCGACATTTTTTTTTTTTGTTTGGATAGAAAATAGGGCTGATAGTTTCACTTCCTAGTGGTCGTCGCAGTTTAGTCCTCGAATTTATTTGCTTGTGGTTTAAATGAATCATAATAATTGAGCACATCAACAAATACAGCACCTGTAGCGAAGATATATATTTTAGGAAATGCCAGCGCGACTTCGATCAAAAAAGAAACGGTGAGAGAGAGAGAGAGAGAGACAGAAAGAGACAAAAAAAAAATGGATTGAAAAGGTGAGAGAGGGTTATTGCATTCGACTGCAATTAATTCATTCTCCATAGGTTATAGATAAATCTTCTTTAAATAACATGCTTGGCAATCGACACGTTATGTATGTTTGTGCAAAGGCATACTTTCAAGATATTTCATATTAATATCTACCCCTGTCTATAGATTACTGATGAAAGTGTTTTCGGAATTTTGAATTGAGTTTCGTTACTGATTTCCATTCTATTCGTCAATATGACCTGAAAGTATCATTCCGGATTTCTCAGTTTAACTCTTGAGATTAATGTAATAAAATTACACTGGGTTTTGGCATTTGCTATGGTTACACTACAACTATCAACTTTATGACTACGATATTTTCTCTCTCTCTCTCTCTCTCGCTCAGTCGAATAATTATGTTTTGCATATATAGCGTAGGTGTATGTATGTCTCTGAAGATTTTATATAAATACATAGTAACATAGCCACAAGGGCATTAGACGCAATGCTTAATATGAATAATTAATGCGTACTAAAAAAACTGTATATAATTTTTTTGTTTGCTTTATTCGAGGGCGTTAAATAAGTTAAAGGCATCAATTTTAATAAAATGAAATGTATTTATTTAAGGGCGTATTCCAAATAAGTTTACATAGACCTTAGAAAGTTTCCGAAATGATAATAATAATAATAATAATAGTAGTTAGTGCACTTTCCGGTAATGGACTCAGCAAAATAATTAAATTTCTCTCTCATTTCACAACAGATTTCGAATTTTAGTAAACAAGATAAACTATCATTGAACGATTTCAGTTGCAACAAATTACTTACAATTTGCAAAAACTATTCATCCACGATTTGCATAAATTTCTTTGTTCTTTGTAATTATGTATCTTATCATTCAGATGTACCTTGAAGATATCTTCAAGATATCAGGATCTTGAGACAAACACTAGACACACTAATGTGTAAAAAATATGATCTATTGGCAATACTTTTGAGATTCGTACCATATTCATACCACGCGTAGCGTAATGCAAATAAAGCAAATGTCGAAACTCTTAGTTGCTTCAACGCGAATGAATATTTGTTATGCGTACAAAATTTGCAAATTATTATCTCAGATATACGAGTATAGTATACGAGTATATAGGTATAGTTGATCGGTCATCATATCTTTTTATATAGTTCTAGTAAAAAATATGTTATATTAACTTCTATGTATATTGAATATTTGTAGTGTAGGGTGGAATTTACATCGGCTTTGTCTATTTTCTATTTATTCCAAGTCATAATTTCTAATCATCAACTAAGGATACATTATTTATTAACGTATGCTAAGTGAGAATTGACGAGTAGATAAGTAAAGAAGTAAGGTGAGTCAAGAAATCGAGTCGACATCTGAAGAACGGGAAGGCGGTACGATGACTCTGAGTTGTACATATGGATATTATTGCAAATGGGAAAGTAATTCTATTCCATCCTATCGTTTAATCCCGTAATGAAATACGTAAACACAAATGCATACATACTCGTATACGTGCATACGTAGATACGTACATAGTATTAGTATATGTTTTCATACACTTTCTCCGCCGCTATTTCACGCTCAATGAAATGTTTTGATCATACTGATGAATGTGTTTTTCATTTCTTATCATATGCTTTAAAGTATATGTGCGTGCATGTATACATATATGTATTGTATATATATATATATATTTTCTGGGTTTTCATAATAAGATGTTTACGTTACACTATATACAACTGTCTATGCACATGCAAGGGACCAAATTAAATGTAGGCATGCGGTGAATACTATACTATATTTAATGTGCGTGTATAGAGGTGTGCGTGCAACAACGGAAGTTGCAAATGTCTTACAGTTGGTAGTGTAGTTACTTTTTGCTGCTGTGATTAATAAAAACCATAATAAAAATAAATAAATTGCATTTTTTGTTTCTTAAAATTATGCACACCAATGCCAAACAAAAGTATTTAGATGAAATCTGTACAATAAATATGCATATAAGTAAGCCAAAATCTCCAGTAGTTTGACTTTTTTTTGTCCTTGAAATAATTTTGAATTATTCAATATTTACTTCTAAATCATTAATGGACGATTAATAGCAGGTGTCAAGAAGTGAAAATTCATCACTCACTCACTCACTCACTCACGCAGTCAAACTCTTGTTTAAGATCCATTTTCGTTCGCAATATAACAAAGCCCTTAAATACAAGGGTGCAAATTTTCATCTAAAGCGAGCCTTAATTGCGGTTTCTATGCTGTAGGTGCTTATGAAATTATTTTCTAATATTTTATTGCTTAAAGACATATAAAAAATTAATTATTAGACGGCGGAGATCTTAACAGCGCCCAAAGTACCCCAAAGTGAGCTCTCTATATGACACATTTTTTCCATACCTTTACTTTATTTTAATTTATTTAATTTATTTATTATTAAAAACTAATATGAAGCATATAACGAGGCAGGAAAGAAAAAAGAAAAAGGAGCATGTACACAACTAGCACATCCACCCACAATCGGTAAAGATCCACATAAACCCCTAAGCCATTGCAAATATGCAAAAGCTTGGCAACCCAGAACCGTGAATAAGATCAGTCAATTTTCGAATATAATTCCCGTCAAGTTTATTTCGTAAACTGGTCACTGCTTAGGAAAGCGTACGTTGACCAGCAAATCATTTGCCCATTGCGAAACCGCCAACCACATATTTCTTCAAGTTCCGGGGACAAGCCTAGTCAAAGTCACGCATCGATTTTTGATATTTTTTAATATTTGGATCAAAGTTTCAGAGAAAATAAAAAAAAATATTTGGATCCGGTGCACGAAAATCACAATTTGATATCGTCTCGAAACATCAGAATTTTAGAATACCTTACGACCAATGAGTCACCGGATAATAAGACAAAGGGAAAGGCAAGAGATAACTGATGATAGACTCGAATTTGCTAGAATATCAGAAAATATATATGCCTTTGGGGCAATATGTGCTAAGATAACACACACATATATCTGAATCAATTCCAATCATCAAGTGTGTAAATGGGCTCGATTTGACTCCAAGTATACGTTCAAGGATTTCAAGGAAGTGGCTCTGATTCAACGTAAATTGATTTTTAAACGAGTAGTTAACTCAACTTCACTACATATGATATTTCTTGCAAATTGTGATTGACTGATCGCTTGAATTTTATTCGAAAAGTTTGATAACGGGACGAAGGAAAGATTCGGCAACAAATCTTCGCAACAATTTGTGGGTTCAGTAAAACAAGGGAGCTATGTAGATTTCATAATCAATCGTTCCTTTTTTCTTCTGACTTCTATCTTTCCTGTCTTTCCCTTGTCTTAGCTGTAAATAAATTATAAATGCTATATACATAAATGTTAGTGTACCCTACACTCGTTGTGGTAGAGATAAACTTGAGATAGTAGTAGATCTGGACGATGTTTCTTAATTTTTTTTGTTTTTTTGTTTTTTGACAGGTAATATAAGTAAAATATACGACGAATTATTGTATTGTCATGAATTTCGCTTCTCTATTATAGGACTCGGACTACTAGATTGTGGATATTCTTTTCAAGAGAAATACACTTTAATTTACAATCATATTCGTTAACAGTAGGATTATTCATAATTTATTTAAGCTGTACTCTCTGTTTGCTCTGTTTGCTCTGTCTGCTTTTCCGCTAATCGTTTTCATCGGCCGCCAGATGCATGAGGCGCTGCGAATGTGCATTTGGTTTCCCCCTCTCTAGGCAGTTGATCATTTGAGAAAATTAATCATCCGGTATGAGATGAATTTAGGATTTCCGTAAAATTATTTTTTATAGATTATGACTAATGAGTAAAAATTTAATCATTTTTGACTTTAAAAGAGAGACGTTCCCAGTCCAGTCCATACTGTACTACTGTACGTGGAAGTAAAAAGAATTTTTTTTTTTTTTTTTATGTAACATCCGTAAGAACCGAATGGAGTTAAGCTTATCTATCTGTCCGTCCGTTCGATCGTTTGTTGGCATTTGCCATTTGTTATGTTCCACCTAAAGCTCGTAATTTTAGCGGAATTTTGAAAATATCCGTTTACAAGGACGAATTTTCACAGTCACTTCCCAAATAACGTCTCATATAACAAAAATAGTTGATTGGCATTGGTTGAAATTAACTTGTGACAAATATTTGGCATATTAATCCGTTATGAAAAATATTGATTGTATAAATCAATTTTTATACGTCCCTCTCATATATAAAAGTTTATAGAGAAGAGAAGCGAAGTTTTTATATGTGCAAACAGTCTCATTTTTCTGACGGAATCAAGAATGATGAGATCGCTCGTTAAACGCAGAACGTCAGCTGATGATGCTTCCTACTCTACAAGACATCTAAACTATTTAATGAAGAAGATTGCCGGCCCGACTATAATGTTTGATTTACTTATCATCTAATTAAAAGCATTATTTGTGTAAACTTGTCACTTTAAAAGGCTATCCTTTATTAATTATTTTATAAGTGGCCTCTGAATAAATTTTAGGTTAAAGTATTTATTTAATTATTTATTTATTTGAATTTTTTTTTTTTTTTTACAATGAACTCAATAAATCAGTTAACAATTAATTAACTGCTGCTAAACATTTATTAATTATTTTATTTTGGGCTTTCGTTAACAGAAATTGGAACAGGAAAAGCATATATTAAGACAAAAATTAGCAATTGCCGAAGAAGAAAGCGAACAACGTGTCTTGGAGTTGCAAACAGATCTCAATGAACTTAAGGAGAAATTGCAAGCCCAGGTAAATTTATATGTGGCTTTTAGTATCGTAAATTAATTAATAAATGAAATAAAATGAAATAAATTTTTTAATTAATATTTCCTTCATACTAAATGAACAATTTGCCAGGAAAATGCAATAAGACAAGCAGAAAAGGAGAAAACTTTACTAATTGAAGAGCTGTCCAATCAAAATGCCCGCCTAACCGAGCAAATACAGGAAGCTCATGCCACAGAAATAAAACTAATGGCACAAATACAAGAACTTAAAGATCAATACAATTATAGAAATACAAGTTTACAGGTACGTATATATATATATATCATTAATAAATGAATTATATATATATATATATATATATATATATAAGCTTAAACATAATCATAATACGAACGATATAATATGAACGATATAACAACATGCTATAAAAGTAAAGTAATTTTCCGTTTGCTTATGGTGCAGGAACACGTTAACAGCTTGGAATCCATAAAATGTGAATTGAATTTAACGACAGAAAAGCGTCACGAATTGGAGAAACGTTTACAATTGATGCAAGATGAGAAAGAAAATTTAGGTTCTGCCTTAGAGGAAGCCTCAGATCGAATACACATGTTGGAACGTCATGCCAGGGAGCAGGAAACTAAACTAGAGGTAATTAAAGCAACAACAATTCAAGCAAACAATTCAACCTATAATAGTATTTGCTTCACATTCTCATTGAATACAAACAAAAAATAAATAAATATATGCGGATGATATCTTTTGTTCGAAAAACTACAAACTGTTTGGTTAATTAAGTAAGACACAGTTTAATCTTAGGTACTTCAACGCCTCGATGCTAAATATGTTGCCGCGATTACTCTATCCAAAAGGGCACATATAAATTTGTACATATATATATATATATATATATATATATACAGTCAACCTGTTTTTGTGCGGTCTTTTTTTATGCGCTTTTTTTTGTGCGATTCTTTTTGTGCGATTCTTTTTTCTGTGCGATTCTCTTTTTTGTGCGGTATATGAATATCGACACATTGAATTTCGCCGAGAGGTCAGGTCCCTCTCTACCGCATAAAAAAAATTTTCTTCAATATGCTGTGAAAAATTATTTCTTATAGCTATTTATGAAGTTTTTGAATATTTTTTTTTGTGCGGTTTTTTTTCTGCGGTCCCTATCTACCGCACAAAAACAGGTTTGCCTGTATATATATATGTGTGTGTATGTTTGAGTGTGTGTGTGTTTGAATGCCTTAGTAAAATTTCTCCCTGAAAGATCACAACCTATACCCGAATGTAAGAAAGGAAGTTAGTATTGTCTTAAGACCTTAAAGATTAGGCCTCTACTGTTTGGATTCTTCTTGTTTGCGAATCTTTCCGGACTCTTATATGAATGTTGACCCACGGCCGGTGGGTGAATAAGGGCAGATTCGAATACTTTGTTTTTGAGATTGTAACGATGATTTCATCAGGCCCAGCTATGAGTATTATATTCACCCCTATATTTAATCAACAAATAGTTTTTATTAAACTTTTCACATTAGTTCTGGGAAAGCAACTATTTCGAGTTTTAATGAAAGATTTAAACAAATACCATATTTTTTTATTTTTATTTTTTTTTTTATCAACTATCACAATTGATTGCGAATGCCATGTTTCAGCAAATCTCTCGTAAACTTTAATATGGACCTCAGTTATTAATTTGAGGCTTGTGGATGATAACTTTTCCAAGCATTCATTATATTTCTATTTCATTGAACAGAAGCATAGCGAGTCAATACATTCATAGACTACTAAATTGATTGAGGCATCAGTCTGTTTGTCTGTTTGTCTGTTTCTCTGTTTGCCTTTGCGACCATTCTACCGGTCGTCAAAAATTAAGATGCCGGCCTCAAGTTTTTCAGAAACATTTGAAATTCTTGCAGGCAAGTTGGTATTGAATGAACGCCACCGTGCAACATACGTTCACATCCCTTGGTCTTAAAAGCAAAAACATGGGGCGTTTTTCGCTCATTATTTGTAAACAACAACAGATAAAGTAATAAAAAACCTACTTACAGCTATTTATTAATAACTACAACTGTAAAACTATTTGCAAAATAGATTCGTAGAATGTCTACTGGATAGTTTTCAAAGAAATGTTGTCCCATTCCCGTATAAAAACATGTGCTAATTACTTCCACGATTTTGGAGATTATGACCCGTTCCTCATTCGCTCCATAGAAAGGTTCAACTGTGTTGAGCAGTGGCAACTGGTACTGGTTGGTACTGGCCGGCGAAGATATTTGATGATAATCAGATGCTCTTCAAATCAAAACTGGATCTTCTTTGGGCTGTATATGGGCGAAACATGGCAGCAAGAGTAAACAACCGTAGAAAGAACTTCTTCATCATTGAGGTTATCGAGACGCATTCGCATTCGCATTCATTCCGGGCAGTCGTGTGAATGGAAGAACGTGGAATCTGAATACCACGATATAACCGCTGACAAAACCTTAAAACAGTTCAGCTATTTCTGCTGCAGACGCTTTCGATGGCCGGAGCACCAACGACTCGCTCTCTTTCGAACTCTGGAAGATATAATGTCCCATCGGTCGCTTGTGTTATTTGCCGCAAAACAACGCTCGACACATAAACTATGCAATATATACGTGTCGCTCTATTTACACGGAAGCAATGTTGTCAACATACAACAACATGATAATATATTTCATCGGATTCATATTATTTTGTCCATGCCTTTTATATGTGCCTATGAGTGATCCTCAAATACTTGCCGAAGAAGTCGGCCATGCGCCCCCAATATTGTGGGGTATTGAAATTTGGATTTCCCTCGAACTTCTCCTCATAAGAGTGTTCTCATGAAAAATAACGGTAAAAATCGAATCACTATGAAGTATCCATCATTCAAATATTGCTTTCAGTAACGATACGGTTTCATTGCCAGTAGAGAAGGGGCTACAAGCAAGCGTGTTATTGAATATGTGAGAATAAGTTCAAATACTTTTCTCATTTTGAGTTATTTTATAGTTCGAGAACACATTAAGGATTATGAGTAAATGTGATATGACACGTTTTGTTATAATAGATGGTATTAGTTAGTTTTTAATGAATACTTTCCAATTGCTTTACAGACAACTCTGCAGACACTGGAAAGGGCACAACGTGAGAATAACGTGCTTAGCGAACGTTTAGGAGCGGTAAGTACTTAACTTGAGATACATTAATATATATATATATATAGATATGAGAGTAAACTGCCAGTTCGTCGAACAATTACAATTATGCGCATCCTCTCACATTCATCATTATCATCATTTCACGTTTCAAACCTACTTGATTTTCGAGCCAAGCATATATTTCTTTGAAAAGAATTCATTCAACATATTTGCTAGCTAACACGCATGCGCCCCTCTTAGAAATGGTCTTAAAACTGCTTATGTATCACAATAATTAAGTAAACAAAAAATAAGTAAAAACACGGCCCACTCATTCATATTACGACTTTTCATAATAAAATTTTATATATTTGATCCGATCCGAACTATTTTGATAAGCCTTTATCCTTGGGGCAAAACTTATCGGTATAGCAAACTTCATTAAGATATCTCACCTATAGATTGAACAAGGAATGAAGACAATCAAGCTGATGGACAAACAGATAGACAAGCTTATGTTAATTCAAAACTTGTACATACAAGCGGTCAATGGAGAATAAAAAAAAACATTATATAGAGTTTAACGCATTTTATAATAAAACTTAATTTGCTTTCTTTGGTACGCTTTAGCCGCAGCATATAATGAAAAGAAACTTTATTGTTATTATATTATTATTATTATTATTATTGCTCTGTTTTTTTGTTCTTTTTTTTTTTTTTTTGTTTTATATATAAAGAAACAAACGCAAATACAATAATTAAGTTAGCAAAAAAAAACTCAAAAGAAAATTCTTAGTCAGACATGAGCCAAATGTACGACAAAACACCGAGACAATCGCAAAAAGAAATTTTGAAAATATTATCTTTGCTTACGTTTTCAAATGTATTTTCAAAATTTTGATCAAATGGCTCGCTCAACTTTTTCACTTACGGGCTCCTAATTAGAGCAGACTTTATTGTTGTTAAATGGTTACGGAATAGAACGACTTGCAATGTTTATTATATCGATCGATTCAGAATTATTTTTTGAATTTTTATGTCCGTCTGTCTGTCTGATGTTTGTCCACGTAGGTCGAAATGTTCGAAAACATATTGTAATTTTTAGAATTTCGGAACAAAAATCGCTTAGTAGATTTGTGTGAAAATTTTTTACCGGATATGTCAATTTTTTGAAATTCTTAGAACGCACCTGCGCAGCTGTTCCAAAGGAAAGCGAATCTTTATATGCTAGAAAGGCCTAATTTTCAATACTTTTTGATTAAAATTCGTTTACAGCAACAATTTAGTTGTTTAATGAAAATTAACCTGACCAAATTCGGATCAGATAGCTCCATTTTTTGTATTGCCCAGCCCATGTAATAGTTCTAATGAAAAGTAAGCCTTCAAATCCCAAAAAAAGTTCTAATTTTCAATATTTTATAATGAAGAAAATTTGGTTCACATAGATTTATTTTTTAGGCCACACCATATATAAGGGGACTCTTCTGAAATTTAAGATGTTATTATGGACCTTAAATAATATCTTTGATGAGTAAATTAAGTTTGCTCCACTAGGGCTTTCATGCAAATCATGCATGCATTAACATAAAAATAATGCATAATTTTTGGTATATTATTAAATAAGTGAAATTGTGTAGGATATTTAAAGGTCGGCATTGCCGACTATCGTATTCTTATTTATTTATATATTTATTTTAAGGATAACTACAACGGTTCGCTAGGCAAGAAGTCTTTACAATTCGAAATGGAATGCGACGAAGACGAAGGAAGCTTCTCGGATAGCGGTAAATCAAGTCAAATATGGATTGAGGCACGCTCGGTGTTTATACAACTGAAATCATTGGTCGACTCTTTAAAAATCGGTCACGACGATGATTCTGGTAAATTAAAGGATGCCTATGATTATCTCAATTTTAAGAAAATCTAATATTATAACTAAGGATTTGCAGGACTAAATTCTGATTTATCTTTGGACTTGGAATCTATGGACAATACAATATCATCGGCGTTACGTTCAGTTGACGACGGCAACGGTGATCCAATTAATTTTCGTCCAGGCATGTTATCAGCCATGTCTGATGAATTAACGCGTTTACTATTGAATTTGGATGCTGGTAATTTTAAAAAAATGTTGGATCAAACTAGAAATTTGGTGCTTGAGCAAGAAGATGAAATTAAACGCAGTCATCAATTAATACAACAACTGGAATCTAAGGTAAAAAAAACCTAAACTAAACTAAACTACTCCACTAAACCATCAATATCAATATCAATATCAATATATCAATAACAATAATAATGCATTTATTAATATGTATCGTTGCAAAATCTCAGTTGACTATTACAAATGTTGAGTTACACAATGTTAAAGAAGAACGTGATCAGGCACGGGGTGATTTAACAGATAGCAGTGATCGCGACGAATTATTGGCTAAAGCGCAAAAAGAACGTGATAATGCGAACGAAAGACGTACAAAGGCAGAAATAGAGTTGGCAAAGACCCGAGTAGAACTTATGCAAGCCAATAGTCAACTATTAGAATCAATACAACAAAAAGTTGAACTCTCACAGCAATTAGAACAGTGGCAGGTTTGTATAACACTTCCAACATGATTGATAAATGAGTAAAAAAAACAAATAATTATTGAATATTTCTCATCATTCAACTTTCACTCAATTAGATGGACATGCAAGAATTAATTGAGGAACAAATGCGTTCTAAAATGATTAATAATCGCAAGACGATAACGAATGAATCTCAAACGAGCAACACTAGTGCTGCAGCCAATTTAGCGAAACGTTTCTCCAGCTATAAATTCTGGAGTCTTTTTCAACGGTAATTTTATTATATATATTATTTGATCACGGAAACAATAGCTTATTACGACTCCGTCACAATAATTCTGTAAAGCTTTCTAATGTTTTGTAAAAATTAAAATTAAAAAAAAAAAAAAAATTATCTTTTTCTTTTTTTCATTAAATTATTAAATATATAAAACAAATAATTATATATATATTTATATATATATTTGTGTACCTTATAATGTTACATTAAAAGATAAAACCAATTAATTTTATATACTTTTACTCAATATTAATCGTCTTGCAATACAAAGAAAATTGACGCGGTTATCTTTTAATATTATTCTCTATTCGTCTTAAATAATAGCGATTTAGAAGGAACAGATTAATTGATATTTTATAATTAAAATGCAAATCAATGATGATGATAATGTTGCAAAAATAATTTTTTTATTGTATTTATGTTTTTTTTTTTACAATTTATAGATAAAAACTTGTTAAAATCAATTTTTGTTTTTTGTTTATTTATAAATTTAAGAACAAAATAATTAAGAGAATTCATGTAAAGCACAGTTATTCGTGTCGCTTTCAATTTTATATTAAGAAACATTTATTGCGTATTTATTATATAAATATATTTATTTTTTTTTTTGGTTAGAAATATTAAATCTTTTTTTATGCTGGCCTCGTTTCGTTCACCTTTTTTATTTTTTTATTTTTTTTATTTTAAACAAAGGCAATGATAAATCGATTTCAAAACGGCCAAAATTTGTATTTTATTGGCGAAGAAAACTTTCATTTTGTTTGATTACTTTCACTCCACATCATATAATAAAAATTACCTATAATTAAGGTTATGGTCATCACAATGGGCTTACTTGAGCTTTCCTGAAACAAGGTTACAATGAATGTCGATTCTTCAAAAAAAATACTTTTTTTTTTTCGCACACTTTCTTTATAAAATTTTGAAACATTCAAGTTTTTCAATTATCATTCTCAATTCTTTCTTTCCCGTCAAGATGGAATTTCAAATTTTGATTCAATTTTTGATAAAGTTCTTCTGCAAACGCACCTCTTTTACCATTCACTTAGAGAATTGAAAATTTTCTTTTAAGAATATATATATATATATCAAAAATACAATTCGAAGACTTTTAAAGCGTATATATTACTAACGAAAAAATAATATTCCGAGTCGAGACCTGTCTTTCAATAGTCATCTATTGCTCAACGCGTGTACTTATTATTTTCTAAATTAAATTCATCGTTCCGATTATAATTGTGATTTATTATAACACGATTGTAGAAATTGTTATAGTCGGTTTTACATAACTTACGCCCTTTCGCTTCATACAGTTCTTCACGTGAACAGCTCAAGAAAAAAATGCATCGACATGATTCAAGTTTAGGAAAATATTTTTATTTTTTTTTCTTTTTTTGCAAAGAACATTTTCTTGTTCGCCTATTTTCTTGATAAAACAGCAAAATAGCTCTCATGGTGCTCCCTATAATGTAAGGGCCCGAAAAATAGATCTGTATGTAGTCAAAACTTATCATAGTAAAGTTATATGTAAAAACACTATTTAAAATTTTCACCATAAAATAGTAAAAAAAATGAGCTATGATATTATTAGAGAATTTATAAATGAAGGGGTTCGAGAAAGGCTACTATTTTACCGACATTATCCATATTCATTAATTACGCGAAAATACAACTTTTCTCCAATTTTTACCAAGAATTTACTAAAAATGGTGAACTCTTTTCATACAAGCACAATTAGGAAAGTGATCGCAAAAATGATCCGATTCTTTGCACGTTCAATACCTCTATCCTTATTATCAAATTTCATTGAAATATTTCAAAAATTGTGACCTACAGGTTGAATATAAAAATACATGGGCAAATATCAGACGAACAGTTACGCTTAAGTCGATTTTAAAAATAATTCTGAATCGTACGGTGTGGTAAAACTTAACTCTATTGAAAGCGCTACATCGATCCGTCTATAAACTTAATACGTCCCTAACATAACTGGTATTGATAGCTAACTGCAAATGATGGCGTGAATGATATGAGATACAATTATCGATATCGAGACAAAACAAAAAAAAAACAAAAAAAAACAAAAAAAAAAAAAACAAAAAAAAAAAAAAAACATTCCGTCGTATGTTAACAATGAAGAAGAAACTTTGTTATTTATTTTTTTTTTTTGTTTAAAAATAAAAAAAGTAAAATACGCAAGTTTTATTAGGTTTAAGTGAAACAATAACGAATAAACCAATAAAGCATTTTTTGAATTGAACAGATTTTTAAGAGAATTTACATACACACACACACACACACGTACACTTTGCCTTAATTCTAATTGAAATAAAAATCAAAATTTTCTCAAAAGAGGAAAGAGTTGTTAAACTATTTAAAAAATAAAAAATAAAAAAAAACCAATTCAAGTAAAGAAAAATACTTTAAAGCAAGGAATAAATGGATAAAAGAGAAAATGAATAAATACTTTGAAATGCACTTTAATATCTTTGTTTAACGTTATCTTTAACATTAAATTTCGGTATTCTATCTTTTTTAGCCAATATTTTATTGGACAAATCCTCCTCTATATTAATATTCGAAATGCATATATTTGTACGTCTCTCGATGACTCCTATAAATAATTTAACATTATGAGCCGTTAGAAGAGTATTGAAGCTTAACACATTCAATATGGGAGCATCCTCGCCAGACAGTTCCCTATAATTTTAAATATTGATATGTGAGTTATAAAAAAAAACCAATGAAAAGCGTTAAAAGCGAAGTATGAGAGAGAGAGAGAGAGAGAGAGAGAGAGAGAAAGTACTTGAAAATATCACCAATTCCACTTAATAGCAATTGCAAGCGCGTATCTAAACTGTCCAATTTATGCTTAGCCTCATTGTTAGATATTTCAGCATTTTGTAATTCTTCAGTTAAATAATCCAAAGCTTCCGTTTTTTGTTTCAGTTCTTTCTCCAACAATTCAGCCTGTTGACGTTCTACGTATTAAGACATAATAAATATTAATCAAAATAAATAAACTAAACGTTAATGACAATATATTCTCTAAATGAGAAATAATCCGTAATAAGTTATAATCGTTTTAATTTTAATAGGACGTTACAATCTGAATCTTATAGTAATCATAAACGAATTAAAAATATTTCCTTAAATGAAATATGAATGAAAAAAAATTTTTTTTTTTTTTTTTAATATAATAAATGTGTTGCTAGGAGACAGATTAGGAACAGACAGTAATGGTATACGAAAAATGATTTATATGATATGTCATTGAGTAAGTCTTGGGAGACCATCGATTAATTGTGATTGATTTACCAATGTCGCTTTATAACTCAAATTGAATTAGCACATCGGATACGAGAAAGCTATTGATAGGATGCGTGATGCGTTCGCTCAATATCGATTCAAAAAGCTTCCGAATGATGGCATTTGGCAACATTTTGCTCGAGCAAGGCCGATCTATTAAAGGCTCTGCCTACGTTATAAAGTTACAAAAAACCCAAATTTTTACTTACTTGCCATGAGAAACTTTAAAATGGAAGACAATTTACCTTAAATTACAGTAAATTTATATTTAAATAAATATGCCAACTTATCACAGTTAAATCTTATATGTCAAATCACCATTTTCGTGCATTTTTAATAATTTCGAATATATGAGAAGTTAGGACTTTTTGTTATACTGCTGTGGACAAAACGTAATGTGTATTTCTTTTAAATACCCGCACTATAATATCGATCTATGCATTTCTTTAATATATTGGTACGATTGTTGCGATCTGCCGTCAAAATTTCGAGACATATGCTCTATTAGCTTAGTAACAGCACCGTTTTAAGATGTGCGAACTTAGGTAACACCCAGAAAGAGTTACGACAAAACCCAGCTTTTCTTATGCGGATCGATGCAGAATCATTCATCTCTGAGCATGTCTGCCCGTTCGTCTGTGTGTCCGTCCGATATCTGTCCATATAAGTTTGTGTTCACGGTACAGATCACACTGACCCAAGAACGAAGAATATTGAAAACGAATCGGATTGGTCGACTTTTTCGACCACTCCCCATATAACATCTTATTTTGAATTCAACAAAACTTGCTGCGCAATAGTATTTCCACATTTTAAATTGGTATGAAATATGTGATACGAGTAGGGCAATTTTTTGAACCACCCCTCTTCTAATCCTTTCTACGAAAACTAAATATTTATATATAGTAACTTTCTAGATTTCATCGTGAAAATTGGTCCATAACAGTAAATTGACAAAAAAAAAAATCAACCTTAGACGTTTTGGGCATTCTTTGATGCCTTTGCATAGAAATAATGTGTAATTTTTAACGCATTACATAGCGAGCGAATGGAGGTATTAGGCGAATTGGTATAGATTATCTAAAGATCGCCCTTACCCAACTATAATGTTCGTACTTGTTTTGGTTTAAACAATCTTATTATTTACATGAATTGTTGCTTCATCAGTTTTGCTACTTAAATATAGATATATGTATATATTTAACACACCATCCAATACTTACCAATTTCATCATTTAACTCTTGTGTGACATCATTTAAAACCTCCACTTCGTGGCTTAGCTCGTTCACATAATTGAAAAGGGCAAAATTTTCATCTTCTTGACGTCTAAATTGTGCTATTAAACGTGAAGTATCTGGTTCCTCGTATAGTTTCTAATAAAAAAAATATAATTTTTTATATTTAATTGAATAGAAAGAAGAGGCGATAAGCATATATGAACGAAACCTTCATTTTATCAATTATTTCATTATATTCATTTAATTGCTTTTCAAAAGCTTCTTTTTTGGCCAACTTTTTGTCCATTTCTCGATGTTCCATCTCAAGATTTAAACGCTTTTTACACTTAATGTCATAAAACTTTTGCAATTTAGCATCATGCTCGAGGCGCCGTTGCATTTCGCGCATTTCCTAAAACGTATTCGAAAAACGATATAATGAAATAATGGAAATCGAAATTGTAATTTTAATCTACCTGAATATGCATTATTTTGTCGTTTTCATTTCGATCTTTTAGAACTTGTAATTTATTATACAATTCCTCCCTTTGATCGTAAGCTAAAGTGGACTGATCTATTAGTTCCATAATGTATTTTTTACCATCATTAAATTGTGTCACCATTGATTGCCACATTTCATTGAAATTGGCTCTAATTGTTGGAAGTTTGAAAGCATTTTCTTTTTAAAAGTTGATCAATCAGATCAATTTCAATCATACCCCTACCGGTCTTGTAACATATGATCAATGGAATGACGTAATTTGCTGTTTTCGGTTAACACGTCACTACATTTCTTATTAACCACGTCCAAGCGATTTTCCAATTTCACTACACTTTTTTGTACCTTATGTATCGTATCCTTATAACAGCTATCGGGCACTTCCAGTTTGCGTAATATATCAATTTCCTTTTCAATCTGAAATTGTCTCCAACTCAATGATTTATCGACATACGTAATATACAAAGAAGTTAAAAACGCCATTAAATATCCTACACCACTACGCTTAGCACAGTTATTCCAAAAATGATTTTTTCAAAAACGATTTTATACACTAAGTGGTCAAAGAAGCGGCTTGATACGAGTGATCAAAGGTGGGTCTATCTCAAGGCCTTCAAAGCGTTTCATACATCGTCGCAATATATATGTATATACTTTTAATTTTTTTAATTAATTAATAATTTTTAATATATATATTATATATATATACGTAAAAAAATTATATGCACTTAATACCTAAGTCTATCCACCACGTCTTTTTATAAAAATGTGGAAGTGACAACATTTTCTACAATCAGCAGCAGTATAAGACATTTCTACATTTATTTTATTTTATTAGTAGATCAATATTTTCTATGGGTTAGAGAGTACAAACTCTTCCCCCTTGTGCGAAGTGTCATTGATAAGCGATTGACAAACGATTATGACTAAATTGTCTAAGGTTTTAATGTTATCATCATATCAAGATTATATTGTGTGACGTGTGACGCATACTTCTGAACGTTAGATACGGAAGGATAAACCTAGTCTATTTCCTTCCTTTGTTAATGATTATAACCAAAAAAAAAAAAAGAGAATGCATTCACCTTTTTAATGTGTCCCTCTAGCTCCCACAAACTTGTACGTTCAGTTTGCGATATCCGTTGAATGTCAATAAATTGTTGTTGCAGATTAATTAAATAATTCTTTTTCTACAATGATAACAACTGAATTATAATTTTAAAAATTTTAACTCAATACAGTTACTTCACCAATGAATTCCTTTTAGCATGAACACCTCTTTCCAAAGTATTTATTTCACATTTTAGCGTCTGATGTTCTAATTGTAAAACTGTTATTATTTGATTTTGTTTTTTTAATTGTTTAGTTTTATTATCCAATAAGCTGCGAAGTTCCAATTGCAAAGAGCGCAACTAATTATAATAAAAATTAAAAGCACACTTTCATGTTACTTGTTGCAATCATTTCTCATTTTTAAATCGCATTCTCCAATACCTGCCTATGTAAACGTTGTAATTCAGCGTCAGCCAATTGATCCACATCGGCATGATTATTCATCATGTATTTATACAGATTAAAATAAAACCTTCTTTTCTCAAATCAATTCCAAGAAAAATTTATCAGAATATTGTCACCAAGCAACCTAGCAAACTATACTAAACTAAACTATCATTTGATATCAATACTGAGAATACATTAGAAACATTCTTTATCAATCTTTTAAAAAAAGAACCGTTTATCAAATTGCATTAAAAATTAAATTTTTCTTAATTGTCTTTTATGTTTAAATTACTAATCTATATGCAATTATATAAAACGATACATTCTAATAAACTCAAATATTCCCATCTTCGTTATCTTTTAAAAGTTGATATTCTTCCTCTTTTTCTGTTTGTAAGACTATCACTCACTCGCTGCTGTTATTCACTGTCAATGAATAAAGTAGATAATAAGAAGCTTGCATTTTAAATAAAATTATAAATGAAGTGAACGGAATGAATAATGAGAAGAAATACTGATTTACAATCGAATCGACGAATAATATACGATAGTATAGTTAAAAAGAACAAATGAAAATTTAAATTTCAAATATTACACAAGTAGTCCTACAACTGATTGCCTTAGGTCTTTTGGAGGTCTTCGTAGAAACTTTAACACAGTCACATAAATCGTATACGTACCGTTTATGTAACGAATTATTTGTTACGTAGAGAGTCTATTGCGACATTTCTTTTTTTTTGCAATAAAGGTCCTAGCACAATGATGCGTTATTTCGTTTCTCTGGGGTGGGACGTTAACTTTTTGAACTTTTTACGAGATTATACGAAATGGCAAAACATGTGGTTTTGCTTATACATAAAGAAGATATAAGAAAGGCTTATTTTAAATTTGACGATTATTTATCTAATTTATGTGTATTGTGTACCAATTTAAATCTTTGTTATATTATGTAATTTCAAATTTTGCCTTAAACTCTACATTAATTTATAAGCGATGAAAAACTGTCAAATCAAAGCGTCTAATTTACGTTCATTTGTGTAGTTTTTTTAATCAAAGAGTATAGTAACGCGGCTACTTATTACGTTTTTATCACTTGCGACTTGTTTACCCGAAAAATGAAATAAAGCATCGTTGCGTCGAGATCCTATCACTTGCCACTTTACGGATTGTTGTAGCATTTTATTTCAGAAAAGTAACTAAAATTATTAGATAGAAAAATGTCGACCGACTTTGATGTTAATTGTATCAATTTTTTTAAATTAATTGCAAATTTATGCTTTATTTTTTTAATTTGGTAACTTGGTAGTAAATAGTAACAGTTTAATATTACTTTACATTATATACATATATATTACTTTATATATTTACTCAACACAGCGAATCATTTATTGTTCATTTGCCGATTGGAATAGTCAATAAGAATTTTTAAAGATCCAATTAAGATTGGTCATTTAGTGCATAAAGAGTTATGGATAACCGTTGCTATCGAGAATGACAAAATGTAGTGTATTCAAGTTCTTGCCTCAATTGTTTCATTGATGTCAATATTACCAACGTTTTTGCTTTTAGTAGAACAGCCCTTTTTCAACACGTGTTGTGAGAACAACAGCTGTTTGGTTTGTCATCAGCTGTTAATTCTTTAGGTTATTTAAAGTTATCGAATTATTTGAACGAAGAAAATGGATATTAAATACAGTTCATAGGCAGCTAAAAAAATTCAATTAAATCGAGAGCTATGGTTTCACCTACTTTGTCACTGTTTGTAAGAGCACGAGGACCGGATGAATTTTGGAGAAAAAGAAAAATATTTAAATTAGCAGCGGTAAGTAAACAATTATGTGCGCCGGAAACAAACATTACTTGTAATAAACATTTATTAGCATTACCGTGGACGGCGGCGTAATGTGTATTCTATCGCAATTCGTAATGTACACAGGGCGTTAGTTTATGCCACCAAAGGCAGGAAACTGAAAAAGTTAGACATGCAGGCGGTAAGTTTACTTTACAATTATCTGATGGTTTACAGTTATCTGTATAAGCAATTTGATTTCACTTATATTAAAAATTGTAAAAACTTGTATAATTCATAATCTTATGTAACCGTTTACTCACCCATAAGTTGTGGACGACGCGTTTGCAAGCCGGTTGCGAACAGTACGGTTTAACCCAAGAAACATTTAGAGAGACATTAACACGCAGCGATATTTTTCTTAACAGGTATTTGTAAAAAATATGTCCCCTATTATCAAATTTTTCCTGTCTTTAATTAAAATCTTCCTTACTATATTCATATTATTATTTCATAGAAAAGTTCTTTCTGATCTAGCTATATGGGAACCGCGTTCTTTCGAAGCTTTAATAAAATTGTCTAGGGAACGTGCGGCAGTGGAGTGCGTGCCTGGCTTGCAGGAACCTTCCATTATGAATCAAGTCTATGGCCTATCTAATCTAAAAATTAAGTAATGTTTAAGATTCTTAAGGTTACTTTCTGTAAAAAAAATAAATACTTATTAGTTAAACAATATAAAGCGTGTTTTATTTCTCTTCTCAAAAATTAGGCAAGCAGGCCTAAATCATCATTTGCAAGTTCAACAGCCAACGATATTCAAGCTTGTAGCCCACACAATCTACTCTTATTTAATGGAATTCGCAAAATTTTCAAACTCCCATAGCTCGCGAGAGAGAGGAAGTAGTTAAAGATTACATTAATTATGGTTCAAAATTAAAATTTTACAGATGAAACGTAAGAAATGATTATTTCTGGATGAACTAAGATAACGAGGAAATCTATTCATATTTAGCCAATATGTCAGATTCACGGTAAAGTAAATATTCCTTCTTATCCTCCAATTCAACTTTGGTACCGCCATATTCCGGTAAGAGCACACGATCACCTTCTTTGACTGAAGGAGAAATATGAGCGCCAGTTTGCTAAAATTTCATAATATTAAGAAATTTTTAAAACTTTCTTTTTAATTGAACTCACGTTATTGCGTGCACCCGGCCCTACAGCAACAACGGTGCCTTGCATCATTTTAGTTTGCGATTTTTCGGGCAAGACAATGCCGCCTTTAGTCGTTGTCATTGATTCAGCACGTTGTACCAATATACGGTCCAACATAGGCATAATTTTTTTAATTGCATGAGCGGCCTTAAAATATTACGAGATAAAATATCAGTTGTAATTAATCTTTAATCAAATAACAATTAAATAATGGGAATCAATTCGTTGTTCTCAAGTCTCCATCTTTCTCTATATTACACAACACACCGGTCTCATCTTTATCAAATAAGAAAAAAAAGTGACCTCCCTCCACCTTGTTCTAGAAAGCAATTAATGTTAACGTCGAAGAAGCATCGAGAATATTAATACAACTTTTTCGTATGCCGTGCAAAAACTTCGTACACAAATACTTACCATTTCTAAATTTATTTTTCAAATGCTATGTTTGCTAAATACAAAAGTTTTAATAATGCCGGAAAATTCGGGAAACTTGCTTTACTATATATTTCTGAATTACAGTAATTTCCACTTTTAGAACACGTGCTACCGCCTTACACCAATGCTTAGTTGTGAATGAATGCGATTATTAAGATCTTTTTAACGAATAGTGCTGCCAATAGCTACTAGAACACTCTATTTTACCTATTGACAGATTGCCGAAAAATATGAAACTTAGAAGGAAAATATAAACAAAGGGGCCTAACACAATGATGCGTTATGTTTCGAACATAACATGAATTATGGCGCACAAACTGTCAAAATAAAATTGATTGTGTTTTTTGAGTAAATATGTTCAAATGGTGAAGGATAATTGTCTGTTCGTCTTATTTTCTCGTATTCAATCTATGTACCGTAATTTTTGAGATATTTTGATAAAGTTTGATACGTCAAGGGAAGGACGCTACTGAAGATCCGACAACTTTTTCGACTACTTCCCATATAACGTCTTCTTTTGGAAAGTTGTTTTATCAATAAGTGTAAGGTGGTCTAAACTACTTAATAATGGTCTGTCACCCACTATAGTGTTTTTACTTGTTTATAAATAATATATTCTATAATTCGATAATTAGATAAGAGTACGCCATTTCTTTGTGCTTTTGGCCTTAATATTGAAGCTCAATAAATTTAAAAAGTTTTACTGGCATTGGTTTAAATTTAATAAAAATTATTCAATGAAGAAATATTTATAAAACGAACTTATTCGAAATGTAGGTTTTAAATATGAATATATGTTTATATTAGACGCAATACAGAATGGATTTTGAACATATGTCGACAGATATCTTAAACACCAACCAGGCGGACATGAATTATTGGATAGGAATGAAACGAAGCGAACACTTGAACTTAACAATTGGTTTTCGTTAATTTTCCGAAGAATTTCAATGATTAGATTAACGATTAATAATTAAAAAAACTAATTTTATTTACTTAAACTTAGTTTGGTAGCGCTAATGAACATGAAATTTGACAGGAAATGTATTCTGCGGGCATAAGAATATCAAAATGTATAAGCAAATAAATAAAAGCTCTAAGAACTTATCGTTTGCTTAGAAAATTGCAGAAATGTTTTTAGGGCTTTACGATCTGATTTAGAAAATCACTACTTAGATTTTAGAATAAATACCGGAGAGGAAAGTTAAGCGTTTCAGCTAAACCGCCTGTATTTCTATTCTGAGTAAATATGAATGAGTATTATTTTTTATTTGACATGCATCGTTTCGGCAAATTACATTGAAATTTTTTGAAGAGCAAATTAGAGAAATGCTGCGGATCGAGTGAATTTTTAATAAAAAGGTTGCAACTAGTTGAATCAATAAAATTATTTCTCTTTACGTAATTCTAATAGTGCAATTGTGAATGTCGTGAGCAAATGTCAAAACACATGCATACAAAAGCATTGTGATAGAATACTTTTATTAATTTTATGAAACTTGGTAGCATTCGATCAAAAAGATAATTTATAAGTATTTGCGCTATTAAGTTCTGCACGTGTTAAGTTGAAATTATAATTAACGTTGAATTAATAGGAATATATAACATAATTTTAAAGAATGGGTAAAATTAAAACAGAACCTGTTGACGAAAGCGTTGTGCAGACCATAGAAATGGGTTTGATCAAAGTTAAAGAGGAAGAAAGCTACGACGATAAATTAAAATATGTAAACTCCATTGCTAGCCCAATGGCCAGCAAGAAATTATCAAAAAAGTGTTATAAACTTGTTAAAAAGGCTATAAAACATAAAACTTATGTACGCAATGGTTTAAAAGATGTTCAAACACGTTTACGTAAAGGCGAAAAAGGGTAAGAAAATTATTGATTGAAGTATTATCTGGATAATAAATAATATATAATTCTTCAGGGTCGTGATCTTTGCCGGCGATGTTACGCCTATCGATATTATGTGTCATTTACCTGCTGTTTGTGAGGAGAAAAGTATACCTTATATTTACACACCCAGCCGCGCTGATTTAGGTGCTGCTATGGGCGTCAAACGCGGTACCATAGCTTTATTAATACGGGAAAACCAAGAATATCAGGACTTATACGATGATGTTAAAAAAGAATTGACACAATTAAATTCACCGCTATGAAAAACGTAATCACAGTGTAATTGCAAACTATATTAGGTTCAGTTTTAGGAAGAAACAAAGAATAAATAAATTTCATTAATAATTCTTTTAGAAAATGGAAGAATTGCAATTTTCGTGTTAATGCCTATCGCTATAATATAGATCTGGTAGCAGAGGTCATTTGCAAATATTGTCTACGTCTGTCGTTTCAAAATAACTTGAACTTTTGGTTTGTTCTGATCATAACTTTGTTCCTTATTTCTAATATCAAAATCCTTGGATTAATGGACCCGCTACAAGTAGAATAAGAACATTGTCTTGGTAATGGATTGCATTAATTGAAAACAGTCTTTTTTTTTTCCGTTGGGGGTTTGCCCCAATTTTTAGGATTTTTTTTCTTTATATATACATATATGTATATATATATATATATATAT